TATCTGAACTTTGATCCCTATGTGTGACCTTGACTTTAGACACAGGGACCTAAATTTTTGCACAAGACACTTCCCCTACAATGGTGAACGTTTGTGCAAAGTTATATTGAAATTCCTTTTATGCATGTAGAAGTTTTGCTCCAGACAAGCATTTTTCAATGACCTCTTAGTGTGACTTTTGACCTAGAGACCTTGTGTATACGGCTACACAAAATTTTCTATGCGTGTAGGGAATATGCCCTTACAAAATTGGACGTTGTCCCCCCCCCCTCCAAAAAAAGAAAAGAAAAAAAAGGGTGCATAAAAAGATGTTCTCTCTATATATTGCATGAAAAATTAGTCAAAACATGTTGCAAAGTTAAATCAGTGAATATTCAGGGGTTTCATTAAGACCCGGGAGCCGGGTGAATCACCCGGCAATTTCAACTTTCTACCCGGCTATTTTTGAGCCGTAAAGGTTTGTATACAAGACAAAATTAAAATATGATAAGTATTAGAAAAACATAAAATGTTTTGTGGAATTTTCAGAGAGTATTCTCGGCAAAAAGCTTTGCTGAAAAAAATGCCGACGCGCGCAGGTGATGGTACCTAAACTACGAAATGTTCGCACTTTCGCGCAAAGAACGTTTTGCTCGCCGTTATTTTCCGCAATTGGGAACTTTTCGCTATTTAATATGCTTTTTTGAGTCCGTCGTCTGTAGACTGTACACGAAACTAAACGCATAAAAGATGGCGAAGAATAAAGCCCAATTGAAATTGGACACGTTTTTCACAAATAAACGAAGTGAGTAACACTTGGAAATAAATGAGTTCCACATATACACTGCACAAAGCGCCATTAACAAATATAAACCATGCTTGTAAAGTTGCACTATTATTCGGACGATCCGATTTCGGATTGAGTAAAATCCGACGCATACATCAACAGTATCGGACATAATGTCCAGTGCTTCTCAACTCCGATAATTTTAACATTTCAAAAGCATGAACCTTTCATGTGTAATAAACAGTTTCCTTTACATTACACACAGTTGTCTGCAAACGATCTTTTACCGACGTACTCTCAGTATTCTGACTTTTTTTCTGTCATGTGCGGTTATTTATACGTTGAAGTTAAAAATATTTGACCTCATTCAATAAAAAATATAATGATAAGTTGAATTTGTTCTGCTGCCACAGACTATTATTTATTAAAAACATCAATTAAATTCAGTGCAGATATATAGGAAAATGCTTTGATATTTTTCCTTTAATGTGCTGGCATGACTTTGATCTTATTTTTTTTAAATGTCGATTTAACTACAGTTTGTATGGTGTTTGTTGACACATCATGTCATGTCTACCAGAGGAATAAAATATAAATTTAGCCTAATTAATGCAAATATTAAATGATTTTTTTCTTTTGTGTTCTTTCCATTAATGAAATAATAAAAAAACAAAACACTCAAGTACAGTAGATTATTTTTTGTTTAATCTTGGCTTATTATGCCATTCACAGGTATTCACAAACAACAATTACTGACAGATGTGTAACTAAGTGCATTGTTTTTAAATATTTCAGAAACTGATGACAATTCATATGATGATGGTACAAGTACAAAGACATCAAAGGTTGAAGCAACACCTAGTTCAAAACATTGTGCAACACCTATTGCTTGTATGAAATAAATAAATAGATAAATAAATAATCTTAGATAAATAAATAAATAAAATAAATAAGTAAAGTGTATTAAATCAATACTTTTTCACCACCCATTGAAAGTTTTATTGCCTAACTTCCAATCACCAATCCTCTGGGTAAGATATCTATACAACTTTATACCCAAAATCAAACTGGGTCTGCTATTATAATTCTTGGCTGTGCTTGTAAATGATCCACTTTTTTATTTTATTAACTATTACAACTGACTACAAAGGATCAGCTTCTCTGATTATATTTGTACACCTGTTTTGAACCACTGGTAACCTCACTGGAATGCAGACAAGCAAGTACATTGTATGTTTTATTTTCAGGTGATACGAAAGTTGACCAGAAAACGGGGGTATCAGTCTCACCCGATTCGGACCAGCCATCTACATGTACTCTAGGCAGCAAATCTAACTTACCTGACAGTCCTACACCAACAGAAATAATCTCACTGATAGACAATATGTTTTCAGGTGCCAACATGTCCACCAGCATGACAAATGTGTTTCATCTAATTGTTGTAATTTGACCAAAAATGAAAATAAAAGACTTGTTGGTAAAAAATTTAAATTTCAGCATGGATGGCTGGATATGAAAGCTTCACACTGTAAAAAAACTGGAATTTGGTGGCCACTTTATGTAGAAGGAGATGGTCTATACTGTATTTTGTGCAAAAAACATGACTGCTTTAATCCACAGAGTAAGAACAAAATATTTAACAAAGAGGCTAGTATGAGGTTTCGTGCTGAGGCATTGACTGATCATGTCAGTACTCTACAGCATAGAAATGCCATTACTGCTGAAATGCTACAAATACATGCATCGTAGGCCTTCGTTCCTACTAAGCTAAAAGGGTATCCTGTTTTCAAAAAGAAATTGATTGTAAAGAAAAAGTGTCTAATTCCATGCTTTACAAAGTATTTACAATCCTGTACTGGGTGGTAAAGGAAGAAATTGCTAACAAGAAGGCTTTGCCACTGATAGGTCTTGCAAAACAATTAGGACTTGATGACCTAAAATATTTCCAGTATGAATCAGCTGGATCGCTTAGAGAAATGTTTTTAACACTAGGTTCAGCTGTTGAAGATGTATTACTTGAAAAACTTAAAGAGGCATCACATTTTGGTATTTTGATTGATGAGGTAACTGACATCTCTGTCTTTGAGCAGATGGTGACATTTGTGCAATTTTTTGATAAGTCTGACAATGAGGTAAAAGTAGCACTTTTGTCTGTTGACAACCTGCTAGAGGAATCTGACTCAGCCAATGCACGAACTATAACAGATACTATTGTTAATACTCTACAAGATTTTGGACTAGAATCTTCTCGTTTGTCTTCATTAGTAACTGATGGAGCCAGCGTCATGACGGGAAAGCAAAATGGTGTGGCTGCAAAATTGCGACAAGAGGTAAATTCTAAGCTTATAAACATACATTGTATATGTCATCGTCTAGCCCTAGCATGTACTGACACTTTAGATGATGCTGCATTTTTTAAGCAAGTTCAGCTGTGGCTTGTTCAATTGTGGAAACTATTCGAACACTCTGCGAAAAAACTGGCTGTTTACTTTAAAGTTCAAACAGAAATTAAAAGTCTGAATATTAGCTCAGGTGAGACACAGGCAAAGAAGCGACTGAAAAAGGCCTGCCAAACTAGATGGCTTTCTTTTAATAACTCTGTACAGGCACTGAAGAAAGAGTATCCATCAGTGCTTCAAACATTGAACAAGCTTCAAGACACTGATTCAGCTGCACTAGGTTTATTGATTAAACTGAGAAGTTTCAAGTTTGTGAGTGCTATATACATTCTTGCCAAGGTGTTGCCCCATCTTGACAATCTAAGCAAAACATTTCAAGCAGGCACTGTGGCTCTGTCACAAATACTCCCTAGCGTTCAGTACACAAAGGACAAACTTGATGAGATTGTGGAAAACATGTCTCCTGTTGAAGAGTTATGTGCCGACCTTAAAACTGAATCTCGTCTGAAAATGTTGGACATGACAGTCACTGAGAAAAATAAAACTGAAATGCAAAACATGTGTAGCAAATATGTGAATGCACTGAAGCAAAACATTGATGCAAGGTTTGTGGAATCTGCACCAATATTAAATGAATTTGGTGTTCTTAATCCCGCAACATTGCCAAAAATAAATGATCCCATGTGTTCAGGAATTTCGAGAAAGAGATGATATATTATTGATTGCACATACTTTTATCTTGATGAAGATGAAATCATGGCCGAGTGGGGTAAACTGAAATATGACATTCTTACATGGAAATCTGTTGATAAAAATGTGTTTCAAAATGATGTCCTGAAAAAGGTGGCAAATATTGTATTTTTCTATCCAAATTTGAGCTCTGTAGCCGATATTATTTTGTCTTTACCTGTTTCGAATGCTTGGCCCGAAAGAGGGGCAAGTGCTGTAAAGAGGATTAAAACTAGAATGAGATCTAGTTTGAAAAATGACATGCTCCAAGTGCTTAATATGCAAGTGTCCATTAATGGGCCTAGATGTGATGATGGTGATTTGGACTGTATCATTAAAAAAGCTGTCTGTATTTGGTTAAAGAAAACCAGGAGAAAGTTGCCAAAAATGCTGCAACCTCGTCCCTTATGACAAAAACTAATTCTTTACATGAAATCACATGTGTGTCTGATGCAGGTGTGCAAACTGAACCCTTGACTGTTGAAAGTGTGATTTCACGTGAAGAATTAGCAACACTCATCAGGGACGAAGTTGCAGCATACGACAAAGCTATTGGTTTTGAAGACCTCACTAGTACATCTGATTCTGACTCAGATTACATGCGAGTTTGAATCAGATGCACAACTATCATAAATAAACTGCAATGTAAAACATATGTGTTATTGTATTTTTACCTAATTTAATGCTACAGAATGGCCTTAAAAAGGTCCCAAAATATGCTTAAATGCATTTTTGGCCCGGGGGGCTTCGCCCCCCCCCCCGTCCCCCTACCAGGGGCGTTGCCCCTTGGATCCCCGCTGGGGGAGGACCCCCAGACCCCCCTCCTACTTTTAGAAATTACCCTTCTACTTTACAACTTACTGAAACCCCTGAGTGATATATATTGAAATGCATAAATAATCTTAACACATTGTAGTAAACTGTTATTTACAAATCCAATATCAATGACATCAAAAAGAAATAGATACCACTTTAAACTACCTTTCTACACGCATTTTACACAAGAACAATAAATTGTCAATGAACATGTATTATACACTATTCTTTCTCATTTGAACCATTTTAAACACAATAGAGAGATTCACTATAAAGTATTCTTTCTTATTTGAACCATTTTAAACCCAATAGAGAGATTGTACAGCATAATAAATCCATGCTTTAAATTTAAAAAAAATCATGGCACATTCCAGGATAGACTTCAGTGCTTCATTAACACAGGACTCTGATGAAGTTCAGGAAATGTTTTGTGAACATTGTGATAAACATGGCAAGCAATATGTTCCGGTTGAAGGATTTTGTGAGGAATGTTTTGATTACTTGTGTGTTACATGTCTGAAATTCCATAAAAGATATATGGACTCCCATACTATCAAGGATAAGGATAACATGCCACAGGACTTCTGTCAAGAGAAATGTTCTATTCATCAAGATGAATTAGTCAAGTTCTATTGTCAAGATTGTAAGAAATTGACCTGTACTAAATGCAAGATTCAAAACCATTGGAGCTGTAGTAGGGTCAGCTATTTGCCAGCTCTAGTTCCCGGGATTGAAAACAGTCAAGAAATCAAAGAACTCACTGAAAATCTTGATGAGATAATGAAAGATTTGGAGAATACAGAAAAACATGTGTACATAAACATGAATAATGTTGCTTCACAAGAAACAAAGATATTAGATAAAGTTACAAAAAAGAAAAAAGAAATACTGTTAGTGTTTGAAAAACATCAGAAAGAAATAATTCAAGACTTTGAGAAGGAAATAGAAGAAATCTTAAAAAGACTTAAACAAGGGAAAAAGGAGAAGATTGAAAAAATACAAGAAAATCAAAGGAAAGTAGAAAAGTTATTAAACAATGAGGAGAATGAAATAAAGAAGAAAATTGAAATCATAAAAAAGAATGACGAGAAAATTTTGAAGACCATTGCCGAAGAAACCTCAAAAATGAAAACAAAACTAAACACTATATCAACAGAGTTGGTGCATCATCAAGGTACAGATCGAAGATGTCAACTGTTTATTGTTATGAAGAAGGGGCAGGAAATCATTGAACAATTGAAACCAGATGCAGATAAACACTGTAAAAACAATTCTATTCATTTCTACAAAGTTGATGCACAGCTTCTGAACAGAATAGAAGATTTTCCAACTTTTAAAAAATTTTTTTAATTTCAAAAAATCCCAAAGTCTGAAGAAAAAAAGAACTGCTAGTTTTTACAAGATAAAAAAGTCACACATAGCTCTCTTTTAATCTTTTATGTTTTATTATCAGAAATGTTTTCTAATTAGTCATAAAGACAAATCCAAAGCAAAAGTTATTTTAAAAGGAAATTTAAAAAATAGAAAATTCTCATATGAAACAATAAAACCTGCTTTTGCCCCCTTGGGCTTTTTTTCAAAAAGTTGACAAAAACAAAGTTGCTTAAAATTTCCTTTTAATTTGGGGAATAAAAAGGGACGGGAAAAATTTTCCTAAAAAAGTTTTTGGGACAGTGCCCAACACGGGAAATTTATAAAGGAGGTAATGTTTTTAAATGGTGTTGCCTATAGTGACAACAAGCTTATAGTTATCTTTCACCAGACCAAGCAACAGTGAAGATACTTGATAGATGTCCCAGGGAAAGTTTTTAAAGATTGAAAATCTTTAATAAGACACAAAAACAATTGGGAAATTTCTGTTTGTTAAATCCTTCTTTACTTATAATCAGTGCAGACAACACTGGTCATAATTATTTAATTAAACTCAAGCGTGTGACAGGTTTAACGTTTAAATGGGAAAAAGTCAAAAACGCCATTTTACAATGGGATAAGAAACCAGCTCGAAGGGCTTATCAAATGACTGTAGATAGATCAGGAGAAAGTTTTGTATGTTTTGGAACTTTTTTGTAACACAAATATAACAACAGTTAAATTCACCCTGACCTAACCAAGTTCGAAAGATTCTAACTGGATGAAGAACAAGGAATAAATAGACCAGTGGGTGTGGCATATTGCCAAAATAAAAACAGACTGTATGTGAATCAGCATGGTGGAAACATTATAGTGTATGATATAACAATGGAAAACATATAAATATTCCTATCATTTCATATCTGAATAACACAACAAATAACAGACTGAAGTTAAAAATATTTCAAAATAATTTTTTCAAATTAAACAGCTTTGATCTATATATATTTTTGCAACAACCCATACATTTTAAATTGGTTTATGTTAGTATGGTGCTCCACTAGAAGAGCTGACAACCAAACTTTGAAGTCAACCATTTTTTTCAAAATTTGCTAAACATGTTAAATGAAGTATGACACTGTGTTCAAAAGAAAATAATAACAAGATATGTTTGTAAAACATGTATGCCCCCTATCGGCAGCCAATAAGTCATGTGATCAGGTTATTATGCATGACTTCTGACCCAGTGAACAAACAATTAATTAGGGTTATCTAGTATCTACTGGTCATGTGCAGCAATTTAAGCTATTACAAATCTTACCAGATAATATATGCATAAATTTTATGAATCATGTAGGCCTCATTAATGACAGCCAAGTTGTTATATTACATAAGACCTTCAAATGTGTATACCAAAAGCATTTTTAGTTTAATATAAAAATATCAACCAAGGTAACTTGAGTTGTTGAGTTATTGGTCAGAAACCGTCATTAAAAACAAGGTCAATATGACATTGACCCCTTGACCCCAAAATCAATAGGGGTCATCTACTGGTCATGACCAATCATCAAACAAAGTTTGAAGTTCCTAGGCCTAAGCGTTCTTTAGTTATTGATCAGAAACTTTTTTTACCTACAAAATCAATGTGACCTTGACCTTAGACCCCTTGACCCCAATATCAATAGGGGTCATCTGCTGGCAATAACCAATCACATACCAAGTTTGAAGTTTCTGGGCTTAAGCGTTCTTTAGTTATTGATCGGAAACCGTTTTTACCTACAAGGTCAATGTGACCTTGACCTTTGACCACTTGACCCAAAATCAATAGAGGTCATCTGCTGGTCATGGCCAATCACCATGCCAAGTTTGAAGTTCCTAGGCCGAAGCGTTCTTTAGTTATTGATCAGAAACCATTTTTACTCACAAGGTCAATGTGACCTTGACCTTTGACCCTTGACCCAAAAATCAATAGGGGTCATCTGCTGGTCATGACCAATCACCATACGAAGTTTGAAGTTCCTAGGCCTAAGGGTTCTTAAGTTATTGATCGGAAACTGTTTTTACCTACAAGGTCAATTAGACCTTGACCTTCGACCCCTTAACCGCAAAATCAATAGGGGTCATCTGCTGGTCATGACCAATCACCATATCAAGTTTGAAGTCCCTAGGCCTAAGGGTTCTTTAGTTATTGATCGGAAACCGTTTTTACCTACAAGGTCAATGTGACCTTGACCTTTGACCCCTTAACCCCAAAATCAATAGGGGTCATCTGCTGGTCATAACCAATCACCATGCCAAGTTTGAAGTTCCTAGGCCTAAGGGTTCTTTAGTTATTGATCGGAAACCGTTTTTACCCAAGAAGTCAATGTGACCTTGACCTTTGACCCCTTGACTTCAAAATCAATAGGGGTCATCTACTGATCATGACCAATCACCATACCAAGTTTGAAGTTCCTAAGCCTTAAGGTTCTTTAGTTATTGATCGGAAACCGTTTTTGCTTACAAGGTCAATGTGACCTTGACCTTTGACCCCTTTACCCCAAAATCAATAGGGGTCATCTACTGGTCATGACCATGCACCATACCAAGTTTGAAGTTCCTAGGCCTAAGGGTTCTTTAGTTATCACTCGGAAACCATTTGGTCTACGGACCGACAGACCAACGGACCGACGGACCGACAAGTGCAAAGCAATATACCCCCTCTTCTTCGAAGTGGGGGCAAAATTAAAGTTTTTTTTACAAACATTTAAATTTCATATATTCTTAGCTTTAAGATATTATTATTTTTACTTTAAAATAGAGATTGAAGTCATGGAAAACAATATCATTCTGGATGAAAATGAAGACAATCACACAAGATAATCAAGAAGAATATAGAATATTGAACAGATTTTATACAATAATTTGAATATATTATATTAAAGGCTGGTTTCATTCTATACAATAAATTCTTTTAAAGGCTGGTTTCTTTGAGATACTAAAAGCAACTGTGCAAGAGTTCAAAATTTATCCAGGTAGATCATGGGTAATGCATTATCTCCCCTTTGAAGAGTATTCAAATAGGCTAGAATCACTTGTCAACTACATTGAAATTGAGGGGTGTGGGTTCAAACCAAGCTAGAAGGGGCAACTTTTTTTCCCCTTTATTTATGTATCTCTCAGATCCCTTATGAAAGAAAAAAATGTTTGGTTTTAATTGTATAATTATTGTAGGAATTTATCTGCCAAAAAATGCCAAATTTAATAGCAAGTATGATACCAGATATTTTCAAAGTTTAATAAAACAAATACTGCAAATATTTGTTCACATGATATGTAATCATTAAAATATATGCATTCATTTCTTATTGAAAAATTTGACTTAAACTTATAGAAAATAAATTTTCAATAGCCTCCCATTATTAACATGAAAATATAAATTCGTTAATATCTTTACCAATAATGCTTTTAAGAACTTACAATATTGATAAATCTTCATTTAAGCATTATATTTATGATATAAAGGCATACAAAAACTGAGTTACAGGATCTTTAAAAACAAAATAGAACTGAATGGTTCATAAAAATTGATTATTTACCCAAGCGGCATAATTACT